GCTGCTCTTTTCTTTATTCATCCTTGAACAAAGTGGGATTTACTGCAACTTAAGAGCAACACTGGGGCCTGCCCCGTGACCTAGTGGTAAAGGGAGCTGATCCCAAATGACTGACAGCAGCTTGCAGAAACATGCTGGGCATGCATGCATGCATGCTTAATGTCCCAACAGGATGGAGAAGTGGAGAAGAAGCGATTGCAGCATGACCATGCCCCACTGCAAGGCACGTTCTCCTTCTCCCTCTCCCTCTGTCTCTCTGACTCTCTCTTATGAGTGCACCCCCTCCCCAACCCCGGCAAAAAAGAAAAAAGCAACACCACTAAAGTGGGTGCATTACACTGGGCCAACTACCACCCTGGGATGGTGGCAGATCCACTTTCAAATCTTTAGTTGGAAACATAGTGATGTGCAGACTCTCAGTCCACCTCCAAATTTCTAGTCTTCTTTCATTTAGTAATAGTGTAGGAGCCCTGTGCTGATTCTCTTTTACTCTGAGCTGATATAGCACATGGATGATTACAATGCCAAATAGGGCTTAATACCAGGGTGGACTCGTTCTGCTTTACTACACCTCTGAGACACCCTTCTCAGAATGCACTGGGCCATGACCAGTTCTTCCACTGCATGCCCCATTGTTTTCTAGGTTTGCTGTTTTCCCTAGTTGGGGAAAAACAAATAACTAGCAAGAAGATAGAGTGTAACGGTTAATCTGATATGTTGATTTGAATGACTAAAATCAAACATTACTTCTGAGTATATCTGTGTGTTTCTAAATGAGATTAGCACTGGTGAACTCAACAGAGCAGATGGTCTTCCCAGTGTGAGTGAACATCATCCAATCCATCAAAGGCCTGAAAGGACCAAGAGGCCGTGGAAGGGGAATTCTCTCCATTTTGCTTCTCGCCTGTGTGAGGTGAGACATCTCATCTGATCTTCCCCAGCTCTTGGGCTGAGATTTACACTAATGGTTCCCCTGAGTCTCAGGTCTTCAGACCCCAAAGTATACCAGTGGATTTCCTGTGGAGCAGTGGATGGCAACTTACAGATGGCATGTCTTCTGTAATTACATAACCCAATTCCCATTATAGAGAGATAAATGGATAGATGATAGAGATAGATAGATAGATAGATAGATAGATAGATAGATAGATAGACAAATGATATACAGATGATAGATGGATAGATAGATGATGATATATAGATGATAGATGGATAGACAGATAGAGATAGAGATGATAGATTGATAGATAATAGATTATAGATGTATAGGTAATAAATGATGGATTGTTAGATGACAGCTAGATGAATAGGCAGACAGACTGATAGGTGATAGATAAATAGGTACATACATAAAATACAATAATAGGTAGACAGGCAGACAAATAAATAGCTCCTGCTTATTGTGTTTCCTTGACGAACCCTGACTAACACATGAAGTCACGATTGCTATGTTTTGGGGTAGTACAGACCCTGAGTCAGGAAAGAGATGGCAGGAGAGCTCTAACGCATCATTCTAATTCTTCTTAGGCAGTCCCTTTTACCAAGCTAATTCAAGGAACCATTAATTGAGGTCCAGGTAAGTTTTCTCAACCTGTCTCTAATGGCTTTTAAATTCTCATGCATTCTCTTATATTCTAGCACCAAGTTTTATATCAGCCTTCATGCTTAATGCCATTGAAAGTTTCATCTCTATATGTACCTTGTAGATATTTAACATAAAGTTAAAAATAACTACATTAAAATGACACTTGGAGAGAAATTTTTGGACTATTTATCAACAAATATATCTACCCAACTTTTGCACATTTACTGTGTACCAAAGATCATCCTACGTGCTTTGTAACTATTACCTCATTTAATTGTCCCAACCACCCCAATTATGTATGTCTCTGAACATTTGTGTAAGCACTCAGACAAAACTGAGGTAAGGAGCCAGCAGGTGGCATGGTGGGTGGTTAAGGGCACTGTATTCCCACATGACTGACCACAGTTCGAGTCTCAGACCTGGCACCTTGCTTTCTCACTTTCACCCTGTTTCTCTATTTCTCTCTTTCTGTCTCTCTCTGGTCAAATTAAAATGATAATAAAATTTTTATGGGATGAGCAGTTAGCGTAATGGCTATGTCACTGGACTTCCACATAGTCGACTGCGGTTCGAGTCCTGGACCCAGTGGCGTAAACTCACGCCAGGCGCGTGTGTGTGCGTGCCCAAGATCCCGAGAGTAGAATGGAGGAGAAGGGATTGTGGTGTCGCCATCCCCCCTGGGGGGTGATGTCTCGCTTTCTGTCTCTCTGTCTCTCTCTGTTTGTCTGGTGAGTGCACGTGACCTATAGCAAAATCCTCTCAAAAAAAAAATGCTAATAAAATTTTTAAAAAACTGAGGTGAAGCTATATAAATAATTTTACATTTTTGTTTTCAGATTCATATTGTGAATATGCTCCGCATTTTAAAAAATATTTTTTAGATATATAATTTAAAAGAATATTTTTAGATATATAATTATAATAGCTCCATAATATTGTACCAAAAAATGTAGCACAATTTGTTTAACTTTTTTCACATTTGGGCCGATTTTTTATTATCATAAATTATGCTTTGACAATATTCTTTTATAAAATCTATGCATTTCCTATTTTTCCTCAGATTCAGTTTTTGGTGCTTTGCTTGTTTGTTTGCTTATATTTTGCCAGAGGGTACATATGCTCCTCGCTGGAGAGAAATAGAGAGAGTGGGGGGAAAAGTGAGAATGCACTCCCCATGGGGGTGGCCACACTGCAATCACTTCTCCTCCATTCTCCTCTTGGGATTTTGGGCATGCATGCACACACACTCTGCATATTTCTCATGCCACTGGATCTGGGACTCAAACTGCATGATCAGCCATGTGAGATCCAGCTGTCTTAATCACTAGAACATAGGTTGGCCCCTCAGATTCAGTTTTCACAAAATAAATTTCTGGCTTGAAAGGATAAACTCAGGGACTGGTGGATGCTATAATGGTTATGTCATTGAACTCGCACACAGGCAGCCATGGTTCGAGTCCCACACATGGTAGCTTAAAACTCATGCCGGGCACATGTGTGTGCGTCCCAAAATCCCAAGAGGAAAATGAAGGATAAGGGATTGCAGCGTGGCCATCCTTCCTGGGGGTTGATTTCTCACTTCTTGTCTCTCCATCTCTCTGGTGAGCACACATGCCCTATAACAAAAATTTCTCTTAATAAAAAAAAAAAAAGATGAACTTAGAATGATATAAAATAGATTAAAATGTTAGTTTCATTACATCTTCTCCAGCCCCTGGTATTATTCCTCAATGCCCTACAAGTAGAATGCATAAAAGACAGCTTTTTGTTTATGGGAATGAATTGTATGTGTGTGTGTGTGTGTGTGTGTGTGTGTGTGTGTGTGTGTGTGTTGGATAGCAAAGACAGAAAGAAATATGGGAAAGCAGCAAAAAGAGATCTTTAATAAGGAGCCCAGAGATGACACAAGTTGCTGCAACAATTGGTACATGCTTTCAGGAGTTAGGCAAGAGAGAGAAAAAATATTATAGTTGATAAATTATATTTTAAGAGCTTTTCCTTAAATTATTTAGGTGAGACAGAATATAACCTGTGCAGTTAAACATCTTGATACCAATATCTCTCCTTTACAAGGAAGCTAAGAAAAATGTAAAATTCTGTATTAAAGTCCATGCCAGCATTCTTTTTACCACTAAACATCTATCCATTTGTTTATCACATTTTTTGGTGCCAAATAAGTGCCAGGATGCTGGTGGGACTAGCAGTTGGCATAATGGCTATGTCACTGAACTACCATGTAGTCGACCCTGGTTTGAGTCCTGGATTCGGTGGCTTAAATTCACGCTGGGCACATGTGCATGCAGGCCCAAGATCCCAAGAGAAGAATGGAGAAGGAATTGCGGCGTGACCACGAAGAGAATGGACAAGAAGGGATTGTGGCAGGGGGAGCCCCTGCCGGGGGGGAGGTGATTTCTCACTTTCTGTCTCTCTCTATCTTTAACTCCAAAAAACAAAAATAATCAATCAATAAATAAATAAAACAAAACAAAGTTTGCACATGTGAGATCATTGCTAAGCACTGTAGAATTTACTACAAATGTCATTGAGGAGATGAAATACGGTGCTTAAATCGCGTAGTAGATATTTTGCTAAGAGGGAAAAAAGGACTAATGAGTCTTTCTTTAAACTCTCTTCTCAACCTCATTACTAGAACTTTTCTCCATTAGCTATTCCTTCACCTGTGACCCTGGACCACTGTCCTAAGCCACCTATGAATGCACTACAGAGAGTACTAGTTCAACTGCTCATGCTTAACACACTAACACAGCTGGTGAAAGTAAAAGCCAAACTCCCGAAGTCATTCTCGAAGTCATTCTCATGGATACACCCTTGAGCCTTCTCCTCTGAGCAGTTTACAACAATCAGAGTGCTAGAATTCAACTCCCCAAAGTGTGAATTTCCACCAGTGGTAGAACTGGTTTCAGATTCACTGTAGTTTTAAAATAAAAATGTTCTTTGAATATGAGACACATCTAGCTGATTCCAGTAGTCACTCCCACCCTAAATTGGGGCCACCTAATTAGGTGCTTTTCTCTTTAACTACAAGCTGAAATTCTTGTTCTACAAAGCAAGTTTCAGAGACCAGAATAGATGGTGGAAAGATAGGTGGAGATGATAATGCCAGCAGCCCTGGTGAGGCCCACCCTGGGATGTTCCACAGCAGGGCAACGAGAAGAGGGAAAATGTTGGAAGAGGGTCCCAGAACACACAAAGACGAGAATGTCACGCACAAGTGTTGTCCTTTTCACAGTTGGGTTCAAGATCAGCTCTAGGACAGCTTTTATTCTGTCTGAGTCATTCCTCCTAAAACTACAATCAGAAATCTGAATGAACCATCTTTGCAACAGTACATGACGATCAGAAAGGCAGAAGAAAGAACGTGCATGGCTCCCCCACAGTGCCGTGGCTGGCTTACTTTTTGGGTGAGGTCACTGGCTTCATTAATGTACCGATCACGCTCCTTTTCCAGCTGAAAGATAATCTTCCTCTGCTTCTGAGCCTCATTCTTGTAGTTCTGGATTTCTTCCTCCAGATTCCTCTTGGCTTGTTCATGGAGCTTTACCAGGTCTATCTGTTTCTGGGTCGCATTGACCGCCTTAAGCATGTTCTAAAAATAAAAACAACAAAGCAGCCATAATTACTCATACTGTTAGAGGATTTTTGGTCCCCTGCCTCATCCCTGAAATAATTAGATGCTTGTCTTTTGGATGAATAAAAATGATCATATTATCTACAGCTTATTAAGAGCTTGTTGTGTTAATTTTGCACAAAGCACTTTAAATGCACATATAAATACACATATAAGTGACCACGGTATTGCTCCCATTTTCGGGCCAGGAGACTGGAACTGAAGTGTTAAGCTATTTGCCTATGAGTTCATACAACATAGAAGAAGTGGCTGAGCCAGGATTTGAACCTATGGCTGGCTGACCTCAAAGTCCATGCTTTAACCTCTATTCCAGCTCTGGCCTTTTTCTTGTAAGGTTAGAACAATTGACCCTATTCACAAAATTCAGGTGTCGACTATAAAATAAGAAGAAATCAGCTTGATAAAAAGAATTAATATACGATCCAACAATTTCACTCCTGGATGTAAACTCTAAAGAAATGAAACAAAAAACTTGTACATAAATATTCATAATAGCACTATTCACAAAAAGAAAAGATAAAAATGGCCTAAATTTCCATAAGCTGATGAATAAATAAACATAAGTCTATGTGAAGCAGGCAAAACTCCATCTTGAAGGAGCGCCTCCATTATGAACCATTAAATTCCTGTGACTCTGGAAACCTCCCCCTACCCTATTGTCTAAGAGTAAATAGAGTGATTAACATTCCTTTTGTCCTTAAAACCCCTTCTCCTAATCACCTTAGTGATGATTAACCTTCTTACCTGCTTTTCCTTGCTTCTGTAATGTGCTTTTGCTTTTACATTGTAAAGCCTCACCCCGTACCCTTTCAAGCCCACTGCTCTTTGTAAATCATCCAGTCTTCCTGGACGTGATTGTGCATCTTTGGCCTATATAAGCTCCTTCTGTTTTCACTCGGCTGCGGCTGCGGGGTTTTGAGAGACATGAGTCCCCCCCCTTTCCCCCTCCCCCCGCCCCGCCAATATGCCGACGGCTTAATCAATAAATTCCAATAAATTTGACTATGTCTGGATGTCCTCTTACTGCTCGCTGAGTAGACTATAACATATACATACAGTGAAACATGTTTTTAGCAAAAAGAAAAAACCTGGAGTATTGAAACATGCTATCATCTGGATGAAACAAACAAACAAAAAAATTGTTCTAAGTGAAAGATTCCAAATACAAAAGGTCACACAGTGTACGATTCCATTTATATAAATATCAGAATAGGCAAATCTATAGAAACAGAAAGCAGATTGATAGTTGCCAGGGTGGGGAGGATGGAGGAATGAGGAGTGACTGAATGAATCACAGGATTTCCTTTTGGGGTGATGAGAATGTTCTGGAACCAGATAGTGATGATGGTTGCACAATATTGTGCATGTACTAAAAGTCACTAATGGTAAATTTTTTGAGAGGTTTTTGCTATAGGGCACATGCGCTCTCCAGAAAGACAAAGAGAGACAGAAAGCAAGAAATCACTCCCCAGGGTGTATGGCCGTGCACAATCCCTTCTCCTCCATTCTCCTCTCAGGATCTTGGACATGTGCATATGTGCAGGTGGCGTGAGTTTAAGCCACCAGGTCCGGGACTCAAACTGGGGTCGACTACATGAGAGTCCAGCGACACAGACATTATGCCAACTGCTGGTCCCACTAATGTAAATTTTATGTTATATTTATTTTACCACAACTTTTCGAAAAAGTTACACTCTTCAAGGCCTACCCAAAGGGGAGGGTTCTGGGTTCAACTCCAGAAACCTCCCTGAGTACACCAAGCACAGACATGCCCACAATCCAGGGCTGGCTGAGGGTGGGGGTAGATTGCAGCATCAAGATCCTGTTGAGAGTGTTCTCCCTCTCTCTCACATGGAAAAAAGAAATCAATACATTAGGAAAAAAATCAGTTTTCTAAAGAAATGCAGATGCCCATGTCCCAACTCTTAAGGTTTTGATTCTGTGGGGATCGGGTTAGGACCCAGGCACCTACATTTTTTTAAAAACTGTGCTGGTGATTACTTATGCTGAAACGGAAGCACTGGTGTTGGATGCTCAAGCTTCTGCGCAACAGTGTGGAGAGCCTGGCAGTTCAGCAGTCAGCTCAGGCAACGGGCCCAGCGCCTTAGCCCAACTGAGTGGGCCACGTGACCCTTCCCAGGAACTGTGTAAATAAAGCCTCTAGGTTTTTGCAACCCAGTAGAAGACATAAACTTGGGAGCTACTGGTGGCAGCCATGTTTTGCTATATGGACTGGAAAACAGAGTCTCCACTGACAGAGGAATAGATGAAAACTCATTTCTAGAGGTGGATTGAGAAGGGTTTCTGCATATCCTGAGAACACCAAGCTGGGATTCTGTCAGTCCCTAAGATCCAGGTGTATTCTTGGTTGTATGAGGCACCTCACAGTGCTTTCTCAAATCTGTCACCAATACAGAGCCACAACTAGGTCCAAAAACCACTGCACTATAAACAGGTAAAATGTCCATTAAACATTGGTTGGGTGATGATGTCGAAAACAGAAAAGGTCAAATTTATTTTCAGGTATTGGTATAAACATTTGTTCCATAAAAGACAAAGCCACTTCAACGTGACACTGAAAGGACAAAAATATATTCACGTTCTAGCCTGTCAAAACTATGTCACTCATTCTTTCAATAGAGGTGACATTTTAAGTCAGTGGGGAAAGAATGTTTTATCAATAAAGGTTGATTGCATATCTGCAGAGTCATTGCATGCTGTGCTAGGCACTAAGAATTCAGTGACCAGGAGACAAAAAAAAAAAAAAGTAAACCCTACCCTCAAGGAAGAACTGACATCAGTCAAATCAAACAAGTCTTTGTAATATTACTCTGGTGCTAGATTCACCAGCGTGGTAGAAAATCTTTTAGTTGTTTACTAGAATGATTCACCAGCGTGGTAGAAAATCTTTTAGTTTACTAGAAAATATACAATATGAATGGATTAAAGGTTGTGTCTGTTAAAAATAAATATTAAAATCTAAATCTCACATTATTGTTTATATGTACAAATTTAGAGAATAAAGAAGCTTTCCAGGATTAGGAAAGAAAAAAAGAACTTCAATGATTTTCTGAAGAAGTGCTTAGCAGTAAAGGTCTATTAATAATCTCCCACCATTTCCTGAGATTCCCTAAGTAGTCCACTTTAAAGTATAGTTTGTTTTGTTAACATTTGTTCTATTCTGGGAAACCTACAAAAATAAGGGAAGTCAGAATGAACAAATATAGGCCATTTCTACTTTGATGAGATAAAACTGTCTTGGCCCAAAGGCTGTTTGGAAACAGTGTCTCCTCACCCCACTCTGCATCTAGCCTGCGGCTTCTTACTCCCTTTAAGAAATCCTTAAGCAGAAAATTGTATACTAAATCCTTGAAAGTAGTCTGTCTCCTAAAAGTGGCTCTCAGTGGAAGGAATCCTCGGGAAAAGGTTGAGGACAGGAAGGGGTCTCACCTTTAAAAAATCTCCAGGTCTCTACCTTCACAGTCTCCCAACCCTCGCCTTGGTTTTGGGCCACATTGAGCTCAAAGAAGAGAAGGACTGAGAACCAAAAACAGACCTAAACCTACAGGGATGCTAAAAAGATAGAGAAGAGGTTTGACTTTTTAGAATTACGGAGCTGCCATTCTTAGACCTAACACCTGGAAGTTAAAAAATTTAATTAGTACTGGCTTGTCATTTTTGGATTAGCAGAAGTTGTAGATTATAGATATTAAATTCAGAAATGTTGATTGACTGCTTAAGATGCCACATAGCACACCAGCAATGAAAACAGAATCCAGAAAACACTCAGAAAGCCCCTGCTGCTTGACGCGCTAATTCTCTGAAGTCCTTTTGTGTTCACAGGTGATATTGCAGCTTCAATTCACCGCCAGTGAATGGCGGGCTGTAGGCAACCGCTTCGAGCAAAATTGAGCGCTATTATTTTATTCTAATCTACTTGTGTTTGCCTTAGAGTTTTCTTCCCTCTCACAACTGGTTATAGACAGATATCATGGCGCTAAAGAAAGACAGTATTTACCAGTGGTACTGTAACAAACTCACCTTGTTTAGTATGTCCCTTTCTCTCAGGAGCTCATCCATTGCCTTCTTATCAAGTTCTGCTTGCTTTTTTGAAGCCTCCACCTCTAAATCGCAAGGGAGAAAAGTAAGAAGAGAGTCATCTGAAGAGAGAATCTGCCAACGCCAAAGCCAAAGTAACATAAAAACTGCTTGGCATGTTTGTCTGTAGCTATAAAGGTACTGTTAATTGAGTGTTCTACGATCGCCATTATTACTCTGTGAGGCAGGTCTTCTTGCCGCACGAAAGAGGTGGAAACTGAGGTTCAGAAAGATTGAGTCATATGCCAATGGTCCACAGCCAAAGAGGCGATGAGGCTAAGATTGAAAGCTTGGTTTAATGTGATGCCAAAAAGTCCTACTCTTTTCACTTATTTTTTTAAAGAACTATTTCTCTTATTTACTTAATTCCATTTGCTTTTGTTTTGTTTTGTTTTGTTTTTTGTTTTTTAATTTGACCAGATAGAGACAGAGAAAGGGAAAGCGAGAAAGCATGCCGCCAGGCCAAGGACTTGAACCGTGGTCGGCCATGTGGGAATACCAGCACTCTTGACCACCACACCACCTGTTGGACCCAGTCCTACTCTTTTTAAATGTCTTTTGGGGGTTTTTTTGTTTGTTTTTATTATGGAAGTAAGTAGAAATATACAATGAAGTTAGAAATGCAAATTAAAGGGGAAAATTTTAAATCTACCAGAATCCAACATAATATTTTTCTTTTTTTTTTTTTTTTTGAGAGGTTTTTGCTATAGGGTGTGTGTGCTCGCCCGAAAGACAGAGAGAAACAGAGAGACAGAAAGCAAGAAATCACCCCCCCATGGGGGATAGCCAAACCGCAATCCCTTCTCCATTCTCCTCTCGGGATCTTGGGCACGCACACGCGCCCAGCATGAATTTAAGTCACCGGGTCCAGGACTTGAACTGCAGTCGACTACATGGGAGTCCAGCGACACAGCCATTGTGCTAACTGATGGTCCCCCAATGTAATATTTTGATATGTCTCTTTCTTGAGTGTTTTGCATGCAAACACATGTGTGTGCACAAGCATAAACAAACACACACCAAAAGGGAATCATATTACACGTACTATTTTGTAACTTGCTTTTGTAATTAACGAATAGATGCCTTTCTACGTTGTAAATGTGCTTCTACCTCAGAATTTTTAGTAACTCTATGGTTTGGTACTATATAAAAATGCATAATTTATTTAGTCAGTCCCACATTTTAACATTTAAGTTGCTTCCAGTTGGTTTTTGTTTGTCTTTGCAAATTTAAACAACAATCCTATGAAAGTTCCTGATCATTTGTTTCTCTAGAAGACGAAGGCCTAGATCAAAGGGAATTTTTTCTAAGCCATTTCTAGCCTACTGCCAAATTTCTCTCTGGAAAAATTAGTAGCAATTTAAATCCACACCCAACCCACCACTGGTTATTATCATTCTCTTTGATCTTTGGCAGTCTGATGGATTTTTTAAAACCAGTATATCAGTATTTAATTTGCATTTCTTTGATTAGTAGTGAAGTTCACTACTTTTTCTTGTTTAATGACCATTTATTTGTATTTCTGTTTTCAAATTGTTCACATTTGACCTTTGCCGATTTTTCTCACGAATTGCTTGTCCCTTTTGTGGATTTTTAAGAGCTCTTTATAAATAATAAAGATACTAACACATTAGCAATATTTTGGTCAATTTGCCTTTATAGAATCATCTGCTGCATAGAAAGTTTTAACTTTCACCTTAATGAATCTCTCAATCTTGGCTTTACAAGGTTTCAACGTTTCGTATTAACTTTTTTCCCCAAAAAGGAATTTATTATCATGCTACTGTTTTCCTAATAATCCATCCCGCATACTGGTATGAAACAATACCATCTCTTAGGTAATAATTTTGGCTGTTCCTGGCCTTTCCAATCTTTTCCACTGATCTGTTTATTGGAACCTCATGGCTACACTATTTGATCATTGAAGCTTTATAATACACTTAAACATCTGGCATGAAAAATGTTCCCTCATCACTTTTTTTCCAGAGTTTTACAGCTGCTGTCATATGTTTATGCTTCTGGAGAAACTCTAGAATCAGTTTTCAACTACCATACAACATAACTCACTGCAATTTTTATTGCGAAAATTAAATGTACATATTAATTTGGACAGATTTGTATCTTTACCATGTTCTTTTTTTCTCATCCAGGAACTTGGTATGGCTCTACATTTTTCTACAGAGCAGGCGCCACCACGCCTGGTATGGTTCTACATTTTTCAAGTCTTCCTTTATACCCCTCAGTAGAATTCTGTAGCTTTTTTTATATATAGGTCTTGCTGATATCTTGGTAACTTTATTCATAGATATAGTGAAAGGGGGTTTTCTATCATATATTCTAACTGATTTTTTTATATAAAAACAGGTATTGATATCTATATGTTTATTGTATAACCTGCCACCCAATTGAACTTTCTTGTTAGTTCTCATAATTTTTCAGTTCATTTCTTGGATTTTTATGGTAGAAAATCATATAATGTCCTCATGATCCTAACCTTTATCCAGCACCAGTATTTGATTAGGTAATAGTGAAAGGAAATGGTCCCTAAGAAGAAATAGCAATGTTGATAATATCTTTAAATATAACCAGAAGAGAGAATGATGATTTTTGTAAACATGATTTAAGGATAAAAACTTGGGTTTGGGACCAGCAGTTAGCATAATGGCTATGTCACTCAACTCCCAGATAGCCAAGTGGTTCAAGTCCCAGTCCCGGTGGCTTAAACTCACACCAGGTGTGTGTGCGTGTGCTCAAGATCCCGAGAGGAGAATGGAGGAGAAGGGATTGCAGCATGGCCATCCCCCCAGGGGGTGATTTCTCACTTTCTATCTCTCCGTCTCTCTCTTTCTGGCTAGCGCATGTGCCCTATAGCGAAAACCTCTCAAAACAAACAAAAAAAAGAATT